AAGATTGTTTAATTTCCAAGTCTTTGTGAGGAGATGAATGTTTTTGCTGGAGTTGAGTTCCACCTTTATTTCCTTGTGGTCTGAGAAGATAAAAGGTATATTTCTATTCTTTTAATTTTGCTGAGGTTTGATTTGTATTCTAAGTTGTGGTCAATTTTGGAGTACGTACCATGGACTGATGAGAAAAATGTATATTCCTTAGCTTTGGGATGGTGTGTTCTTTATATGTCTAATCCCATTAGGTCTAGGGTCACATTTAAGTCTTTTGTATCTTTGTTTAGTTGCTGTTTAGAGGATCTGTCCAGTTCTGTCAGAGGGGTGTTAAAGTCCCCAACTATTATGGTGTTATGAGATATCATATTGCTCGGACACATCAAGATCTGTTTCATAAATCTGGGAACATTTAAGTTGGGTGAAAAATATTTAAAATTAAAATATCTTTTTGTTGTATTGTTCTTTTGACCAGTATAAAATGTCCGTCTTTGCCTTTCCTTAACTTTAGTTGCTTTAAACTGCTTGTATCTGAAAATAAAATTGCAACCCCTCCTTTCTTCTGATTTCTATTTGCTTGAAATATTGTTTTCCTTCCCTTAACCCTGAGCCTTGATTTGTCCTTCAAGGCTAGGCTAGGTGTCTCCCGGAGATAGCATATGGATAGCTTGTGCTTTTTTATCCAATCAGACAGCCTGTGCCTCTTCAGTGGTGAATTCAGTCCATTGACATTTATTGAGAGAATTGATAAGTGTGGTGGACTTCGATTCATCTCATTTTGTGAAAGTCCTTTGTGTAGTTTTATCCTTTGTGCCATTATGGAAGCTAAGTTTTGACCTTTAGCTTCTGGGTATTTACTTTGCTGGTGGTCCATTGTGGTGGCCAGTGTTGAGAACAGGTCTAAGTATTTCCTGTAGAGCTTTTCTTGTTGTGGTGAGTTTCCTCAGTGCTTGTATAGCTACAAAAGATTTGATTTCTCCATCAATTTTGAAGCTTAGTTTAGCAGGATACATAATTCTGGTCTGAAAATTGTTTTGTTTAAGAATGTTGAAAGTGGATGACCATTCTTTTCTGGCTTGGAAGGTTTCAGTTGAAAAGTCTGCTGTCATACTGCTGGCTTTGCCTCTGTAGGTCATTTGGTGCTTACTCCTGTCTGCTTGCAGAATTTTTTCTTTCATTTTGACTTTGGTGTCTTGGAGAAAGCTCTATTTGAGTTGAGATGACCTGGGATTTAGTATTTATCTGAAAAGAGTATGGGGTCTTTAGTAAAACTTGGGAAGTTTTGATTTATGATAGTCTCCAGTAAAGCTTCCATTCCTTTGGGACAATATTCTTCCCCTTCAGGAATCCCTATTATTCATATGTTTGAATGTTCATGGAGTCTTGTAGTTCTCTAAGTGCCTGTTCTGCTTTCTCTCTCTTCTTTTCTACTTCTTTAACTTGGGTTAACTGGAAAACTTTATCCTCTAGCTCGGCAGTTCTTTCTTCTCCATGGGCAAACCTATTTTTGACACTTTCTACTGCAT